TGTAGATGTGCGTGGTTAGAAAGAGGCACTTCTCCAGGACCGCAGAGGAGTAAGGGAGACCCAAGTTCTGATCAGCGGTGGCGGTAAAGTGGGGTTAGGAGAAGGTTAAGCGGTCCTGGGGATGTCCACCCGGTCAATCAGCAAGCTGAAGAAGGGGACGCTGGCACCAGGGCGCGGGCTCTCACCCCTGTGTGCGGGGCCCTGATCTGGGCGCTCGTGTGCACGCCTGTGTGAACGGTGCGATCACCCGGTCTGTGTGCGTGCCCACACGTGAGGCAGAGGGCAGCCGAGCGCCTCCGGTGCACACACCGGTTCTCTGGACCACCAACCCAGATCTGTAAGTTTGTGACTAGGGCTGAGCATCTGTGTGACCTGGATTAGCAGTGGCAGCAACTTCTCACAGGTGTGGCCGGGGAGACGGAGTGGCACGAATCCTCAATGACAGCATGCACCACAATCCTGCCTAGAGAAAGGCGCTTCTTTGGGAAGACCTAACAATATAAGAAGGAACTTCGTTGCTCTTTCTGGGTATCTCTCCAGGATTATTATAATGGAGGTAGAGGACTTGGAGGTCCAACCAGGAAGGGACTTCAACAGAGTCAAAACGCCGTCTGCAAGCAGAACACATTGGTTCCGATGGCAAAAGATGGATTTTCCCCTTTCCCTCTCTTCCTCCTCCTCTCGTCCCTCTCCTTCACCCTTAGTCTGTCCCTTTTCGAGTTTCTCCCCCTCCGGAGTGTAGTAGACAAGAGGGCTCTATGTTAAGCCCACCCTCCCCCACCCCATGTCAAAATAAGGGCGAACGAATCACATTCTAAGTGCTCACCGTGTAATTCAGACAAGTTTGGAAATTAAACAAATCGCGTTTGCACTGTGGGGCCTGGGGCATCCAAAGGAAAACAAACAAAACCAGACGAACAAAAAATTAGTTCCGAGTTATGATTTCAAACGGGAATGTAAAACGGGTATTTGTTTATCTTAATAGGGATTTTAAAAAATGTTTGAAAATCCGAATACACAGTTTGCATCATCAGCATTCAGTGTGATTCACAGAAACACTTGAGGAGATGGTTTCTGTTAGTGTTGCAAAAGCCCTTCTAAATTTTGGTCGCCACGGTAACCGAAGAAGGCGCCCTGCACTTAGAGAGGCTGCCTGGCTGGAACCAGGAACTATTCCTGAAGGGAACATGTCTCCTCCCGTCGCCACGGCAATAACCAAATTCATAAGAAAATGTATATTTTCCTTAAAGTAGTTCAACTCTATGTCATGTTTTTGTGGTTTTTTAAGGCTTTTTTTTTTCTTTCAAATTTGTGCTTCAGACCCTCCCTCCCTCTCAGACAGATAAGAGTAAACACTGCCTCAGCAAGTCAAATGGTCTTCACTCCTGAGGGCCCAGCTCTCTTCCCACACTAACAGAGGACAGAGGAGCTGTTTGATGTTCAAGGAATCCTGGCCTGGGACCAGACTGCCCTCTCTATTTAGCAGTTAAATTTGGAATTCTAATTAGCTTTCTAATTAGGAGCTGGAGAATGTAGGTAGGGGGCCTGGCAGAGGCTACTGGGGAACAAGCTGAACCCCACTCTCCACAGATTGGTGTTTGGTGGGTTGCTGAGTGTGCTTAGTAAAGCTCTCATGCATTTATTTTTGGACTGACCATTATTAAGTGGTAAGCCTGGAAAAACTTTCAAGAAAGGCCTTTTTCTGTTAGGGAGGAATGCGGCTGGGATTTGGGGCTGAAGTCTGTGATTTTCCTTATTGGAGCTGAATTTAAAATAAAGACAGGTTTGTATGAATCTAAATTTCCCAGTCATGACTACAAATAGGTTACAGACCCTCTACTATCTCATTTAGCTTTAGCTAAGGTTTTAGTTTAGAAAGCTTAATTTGGGACAAACAGTGGAACCACACTTCAAATACGTTTGTCAGCAAATGTTTGGTGCCGTTAAAGATACAATTCTTCTACAGCCACTATTTCTTTGATTTCTAGATATGGATCTCACACATTGGTAGAATAGGAATGGAAAATTTGAAAGCTTCTAGACTTACAGTGTCAAAAGGGAAAACCCAAAGATTTTGTCTAAGTATAGTCATGTTGTCAGCCACATACAGAGCTTCATTTGGGAGAATCTTAAAAATATAGACTTAAATTCACCTTCAATCTGTATTTTTCCAGGATTGAAGAATCTTCATTCATTGTCGGATTTCCTAGAATTTGTTATAAGTCTCAGAAGAAAATATTAAAGTCCCTTATAACTCTACAGCTGAAATGAAGGCTATTATAGTTCTTAAATGACTTTGAGTAGCTTCAAGGTTAACTCAGCTGCTGCAATACAGAATATTGACCAGTTGTACAAGGGGGTAAGTTGCAGTCGAAAGACAAGTGATTTCAGTTAGCCACCTGGAAAATGAAAACAAAAATATAAGTCACTTGGTAGGGCTTACAAAAGTGATTATCAGTCAAGAGTTAAAGACAATTAGGGTGGGAAGGAAGATGAAGTGGGGTGCTGGAAGGGTTTAGGACAGGGAAGAGAACAGCTGTCAGGGAAGTCTCAAGTGAGGAGAAAGCAGACCAGGACGCAGTGAAAGGAAGAGAACACTGAGGATAAAGAGGCTTACACGGAAGGACAGCCAAGTTGCATAACCAGAGTCTAAAAAGAATTCCACTCTTTGTTCTCAACTAGAACACGACACTTAAAAAAGAGAGAGCGAGAGAGACTGATTTTACTCTCAATTATGTGTTTGTATGCAGTGGGTGTGTGTGCACATGCCGGAAGAAGTCAGTTGCCGAAGTCAGTTGCCCTGGAGCTGTTGTGAGCTGCCTGATGTGGGTACTAGGAACTGAACTCAGGTCCTCAGGAAGACCAGTCTGTGCTCTTAACCATTGAGCCTATCTCCAGCTCCTGCTATTTAGCAAAAAGAAGTACTATGACTTACTCAGGGAATCCCTGGGGGGTCTGGAGTGTCCAGGGAAGGGCGGTGCAGACCTGTTACAGTGGTGTAGGGGACTGCAACTCTCTTCTTGGTCTGCCAAGCTAGATGCCTGCTAGACCAATCTTTAGGCCACCAGGAAGCTTCCTAACTATTATTTGTTAGATCATTTCATTGAGAGAATTTATAGACACACTTTCATTATGTGATTGCAACTTCAATTTTTTACTTTCAAAATATTGTTTAAATTGTCATCAAAATAATATGTTCATTTAATTTTTATCATTTAAACCACATTAAAAGATTGTAATAATAACACTCATACTCCCCAAATATAATAGCTGTCAGTTTTTAGCAGTTTGATCACTTACCTTCCTATATCCAAATTATCCTTTTATGTTTCTGGTTTATTTAGCAATTTTAGACATTGTCTACTGAGTTACAATTATTATGGGTAAGGATTTAATCCTTTTGCTCCACTCCTTCCAACTCACTTCCTCCATTTATTTATTTATTTGTTTATTTTTGCAATATATAGTTTGTAGATGAAGCTCAACTACATCCTCATTAGTAAAATAAGAGATGACAGGTGAGAACCAGTTCCTTTGGCTGGTCCCTGACCTCCACCCTCCACATATGCTCTGTGGCATGTATTCTCTCTCTCTCTCTCTCTCTCTCTCTCTCTCTCTCTCTCTCTATGTCCCCCTCCAACTTGCAGGTAAGATGTGCGCTCTCAGCTACTGCACCAGCCCCATGCCTGCCTACCTGCCTGCTGCCATGCTCCCTGCCATTGATGGCCATGGACTCACCCTCTGAAAGTGTAATCAAGGCCCCAACTAGATACTTTCTTTTATAGGTCACCTTGGTCATGGTGTCTCTTCACACAGTAGGAAGGTAACTTAGGTAGTCTCTGTCTTAGGGAGTTTGTTACAATGGCTGGATCAATAGTATAAGAATATTTAGCATAGTGTTTGGTATATAATAAGTGACTAATAAAAGTAGGTTTTAAAAGTAGGTTTTAGTATTCTTTGTGTTATAATTAATAAAATGCTATCAATATTGACTTAACCCTAGCTAAAAGAATAACTACATTCAAATGTCTGTCCACAGGTGCTAGTAATATATATTCCTTTCTAGAACCTCATATATTATTCTCTACTTTTTTGTCATTTTTTTTCTGGTATTCACTTGGTACCTACTATGCCCTTGCTTTCATTAGATGCTAGGATGTACTGAAGCAGAAAGCTGGTTTTATACAGGCTGAATATAATTTGTATATGAATGTGTTCAATGATAGTATAGGTGACTTAGCAATTAACATCAAATAAGTAGAGAGGAGAAAATAACAAGAAATAAACAAGAAAATAACAAGAGTTCTCAATAGTTTTTAGTGCGTAGAGTCATATCAACTGCATATAAGGATACTTTGGCTTCTTTCTTTGCTGCTTGTATCCCCTTGATTCCCTTCACCTGCCTTTTTGCTCTAAAACTTCAAGCACTATACTGAACAGAAATGGAGAGAGGATTCCTTGTCTTGTTCCTGTCCCTAATTTTAGTGGAAATTGCTCTCGGTTTCTCTACTTTTAGCATGATGTAGGTTTCTTGTAAATTGCCTTTATTATACTGAGCTATGTCTACATATCTCTGGTCTCTACAGGACTTCATCGTGAAGGGATAAATGTTGAATTGTGTCAAGAGGGTTTTTTTTTTTCCTGCATCTAACAAGAATGTTATGTGGTTTCTATATGTGGTGGACTATAATTATTAATTGACATGTGTCGAACCATCTGTGCAACTCTGGGATGGAACTGATTTAATCATGGTGGATAATCTTTTTGATGTGCTCTTTAATTTGGTTTGCAAGTATTTTATTGAGAATTTTGGTGTATACGTCATTAGAGAGGTTGGACTATACTTTTTTGTTGGAGCTTTGTCTGTTTTTTTGTAGCAGGGTAATACTAGCTTCAT